CACATTTTTGACTAAATGCAAACCTTTTTGGAATTCCTTATTTGAGCAGATTGAATGGAAACAAGTTTGGAACTTAGAGTAAATACTGTCTCACCAATAAAGTTAAAGAAGTGACATGTAAACTAATTCATTTAATCTATCCAGTAATCAAGTTGTTATTTTTTTAGAGCCATTGAATCAGTATGTACTGTTTATCAATTAAAGGAGGAATCGATAAAACACCTATTTTTTGAGTGCACATATACCCACATGTTTTGGTTTGATGTTGAATATCTTGTATTTAAACTTACAAAATTGAAAAATTCTATTTTCTTGTAAAGATATTTTTTGACATACAAAAATAATAATAAAACTTTGGAGCAAAACTTGTTTATTAATTTAATGATTGTATGTGGGAAGTACCATGTACACAAACAAAAATGGTCCAATGGTTATTTGTTTAAAATTGATCTTAAGCATTATATTGAAACTCTAAAAGACATTTAAAAAGGATGTATGCAATTTTGGAACCATTTTCTTATACAAATGTCTTGTTATTTGTAAGTCCCCTTTAATTGTATGCATTTTTTGTGTTCATTCTCTGTTGATGTTTGTAATAATAAAATTGTAAGTATACTGTATTCCTCAGTTTTATGCTATTGTTTATGTTTTGTAATAAAGAAAAATATATTCATAAAATATTCATCCAAAATATTAATAAAACTGTGAACATTTATATATAACAGTTATTTCATTAAGAGACATCATTTACATTACATTAAGGCAAACGTACTTTAAGGTAATTATACTGTTACACATAGCTAATACATGATAATCATCACATAAACTACTTGATTATCAACCAAATTGCATTGAAAATCTGTTTTAAATTCCAAAATGAACTGTTTTGGACAAAATAAAACTGCTGGAAATTGATGTCATTGCAGACAGAGCCTCAAAGCCACACCTCCATATTACATAATCAACACAGACCAATGAAGATGCAAAGGTTTACCAAAATAAACAAACTTTTCCAGAAAGTTCACTTTGACAATCTGATCCAAATTCCAATTTAATTCAATTTTGGCCTGATTTTGTATTTTATAAAGCTCTTTTTGTTTGAAGCATACTATGGCATGTGTATTTGTGTGAATGAACAGTTGTTCTTGACTGCCAAATTTCATAATCACTGCTACCTTTGAGAGCCTTCACATGTGGCAGACTAAAGACTGGCTTTGTTTTCTTTCATAACAGATTCCTAGGCGACTATCCAAGACAGAAGGAGGTTCCCAACCGGCTGAAAAAGATGGCGCAGAGGAATGTCTGTGTGGCTTCCTGGTGCTGGAATCCAATGTAGGAAACATAATTCACAGTCGCAATGACAACTCTGAGAAACAGCCTCTTAAGGTTACAGAACCTATGGATATTTCGGAGGAGACCCGTCAACTGAAGAAGAAGCTCATGAAGCAGATTCCTATGCAGCACAGAGTAGTTCTTGGTGGAAGTAATAAGAAGTCTCCAACCACAGAGCCAGTAGGAAGAAGAGTCTGACAGATCACATCCAAATCTCTTCCTCCTCTTCATATATTCGCACTGTTCAAAACAACATGAGTGCCACCATTAATTTGAGTGAGACTAGAGAGGAGAGAGACAGTTTTCTGCCTGCTGTGAGTGTTTGTTTAAAAAGTCATGTCCGGGTTAGGATTGTTATGAGTTCTGGCAGTGCAGTACATCATCACTTTTACCAGACGTTAAAGTCAACAGTACCTACATTTACAGAAATGATGTGACCATAGCACCATAGAATCTTTTAGAAATATTAATAGATGGTGTCCTTTATTAAAATTGAGATTCATACATCCTCTGAAAGCTGAATAATAAGCTTTACATTGGCGTATAGTTTGTTAGGATAGGACAATATTTGTTTGAGGTATTTGGAATTTGAGGATTTAACAAATCAAAATATTGAGAAAATTGACTTCACAGTTGTCTAATTTCTTAGCAATGCATATTACTAATCTAGGTTTTGTTATATTCACAGTGGAACATTCATCAGATGTCTTCATGTAATATGATAATTACTTGATTATCTAATGGTGTTTGACCTAATCAATCATTTTAAGCCATGCAATGTATTCTTGCCAATTTCTCGTGCAACATAAAATGGTTTTGTGGTCCAGGTACTTTATATGGTGCCTCTGAATTGTGAGTTTGCAATTAAGTTTGCTGTATTCATAAATCACTTGATATCTCTATAATCTAAGGTCTGTAAGATTTTATAAATGAAGAATATAAAATTGCAAAAAAAAAAAATGCTAATCGAAATTTTCAGCATGATTTAGCATGATTATTCCAGTGTGAAATAAAAATCCTATAGAACAGAGATCCCCAAAGGGCCAACGTTGGCCTAAGCATGATAACTTTTGATTTGGCCCACCGTCCCATCTGACAATAGAGGGAGAATGATGGGGTGAATATTTATGGCAGAGATTGTCATTTTGAATTTAATGTAAATTTCTGTTTATTTAGTAATTTATTTGGCTCTAATTTTGGAAAAAAAAAAAATGTAAATATTGTCCCGTGATGGATAAAGAACAATGGGGCCTGCAGTTTAGTTTATTCAGCATTGAACATTGAGATTTTTACTGTAATTTTTTTGTATTAATTTTACTGTAATAAATGCTATATATATATATATATATATATATATATATTACACTACATTAGTTAATATAATTTAGAATTGTTTGATATTTTTGTGATAAATATTTTTTTCAAGATTCTTTGAGAATTTTTTTTTTCACTTTTAATTTTACATCAATTTCACTTTCACATCAATTTAATGCATGCTTGCTGAAAAGTATTTCTTTTCAAAACAAAGTACTGACCTCAAGTCTTTGAAGAGTAACACACAAAAAGAAAACTAACTTTTAAAGAGATTTTATAAATTGTAGTGTGACAATTATCTTAATAAGGAAGAATGTAATGTTGAGGTAATGAATGCTAGAGAAGTTTAAATAATAGTATAAAATTATACAAATCTCTTATTTGTGACTATACAAACTGCAAGACTGTGCAGCCAAGTTTGGTTACTTTTAGGTAGTATTTGTTGTATTAAAAAGCGGATTATATGCGTTTTCCCACCAAGTTTTATTTTTTACAATTTGGGGAATTAATGGGTAATCTATAAAAAATGTTACACTCTCATTCATTGAAAAAAAAAGAAATATTTAAGAGGTCCATCATCTAAACATAAAAATCAATTCTTATGAATTTGCCATGAGAATTGTCTCGAGACAATATTTTTAAGCTTCTATTTAAAAATGTTTTGACACTTTATGCAAATCTAACTTCTGTAACCCAGGAAAACATTTGCAGCATAAGTATTGATGAAATAGTGTATGACAGTATTTCATTTCTATATATGCTAATACAAATCGTTATTAATTTATACAAACAGTGTGGCACAAAGATCTGATTGAAATGTATAAAATACTTATGATGTACATGTAAGATTGTGTTTAATATATATATATATATATATATATATATATATATATATATATATATATATATATATATATATATATATATATATATATATATATTGACAAGTTAACACACATATATATTGCATTTGTTTCACTTTAACCTTTTATTTGAAGTCTTTCAAACTAACGTTTACATACTTTGGCAATTTTTGTATTAATTACAAAGACAGCATATTCATCAACTGATGGTAACTTTACACTGTACAATGACATTTAAGAAAAGTCTTCATTCATTAGCATACATGTTTGTGTTGTTGTTGTTTTTTTCTTAGAAAACACTTGCAGTTTCAGAAAAGAAGCAGCTTGGGAAAAACACATCCTCTGCTGTTATCTGAATGCACACAGACACAATCACCAACCAGTCTATTGAAATTAAACTGCAAGTCAGCCTTGAACTGATAACAGCTTCTTGGATGACAATACCTGATACTGTGGGAGACTTCTGTATTTGAATGTAGTGAGAGACAATGTTGTTTTACGTCTACTCATATTTTTAGACCACAGCGCATCAGCAGTTTACCACTAGACTACCAAAATCACTATCATGTTTACTTTCTGTTTCCATTATTTGCAGAAGCACTGAAATTGTTCATGCTTATTTTAAGCAAAGGAAATTAAGGGTGAATTCACACTTGTTGATAAGTTCTCTTGACTTATTTTGGACCAGACCATGAAAAAAATGGTACATTTAATACTGGTTTACTTTTCATTTTAATGCATAAGGCTATTAATATGTATTTTTTGTGACAGAACTTGCACCATTTAACTCTTCCATTTCAACAAGTTGTCAATAGAAGCTATAACCTTAGCAAACTTACTAGTGAAATGTCTTAAAAATAATTGTAGACCCTGTTTTATTCTGGAACCAGTTTACACTGGTGTTCCTTTTCAATGTAGACTGACTAAAATGCTAACTTTTGAAAAACAAAGGCTATCAGTGCTATGTATGCATACAGTGCTCAGCATAATTATGTACACCCCATTTTAAAATCCATTTCTCAGTCAATATAGGCAATGTATTTTGATGCACTTAAACAAAACAGATTTATTAAACAAAAACATTTATTAAAATAATATTTTAGTCACCAAACATATTTAAAAAATTGAAAGATAATACAATTTAATTCAAGCTAAATATTGCAAAACAAAAATTACAAGCGCTTTGTGTAAGCTTTTTTCATTTAATAAATTTGTATTTTTTGCCGCCTTTGATGAATATTTAAAACAAAAATTACAACCTACATCATTTCATTTTTTTATTATTATTATTTTGCTTCACTTGATTTTTCCTCTTTTTTAAATTCGTATTTATTATTTTTCTGTAACATAAATTTGGGTGTACTAGTTTTTGGACCGTTGTCATAAGTTATTTTGTTAGCTAAGCTCCAGATTTTGCCTCAGTACTGACTAATCTAATGCATATGCACAAGTATAATATTGTATAGCATCCTATTAAAAATATGTATTTAAAATATAAATTGTGAGGGGTGTACTTACTGTATATATGCTGAGCACTGTATCATTTGTTTTTTCTATTTTATAGTGTGGACATGTTTTTGTTTTTTAAACGTATAAAAACACCAGTATGGACAAGGAGCATTTTCAGTCTAAGACTCCATATAAGATAACACTTGCATTTTTGTAAATGCAGCCTTAGTTGCTCATACAGAGGGTCTAGCTGTGGTCACATTAAAGATTTCAAACTCTTATGAAAACCACATTGCCAAGCTTGCCAAGTGTGAACACACCCTAAAACACTTATTTCTCCTATTTCTCCCCAGACAATGGACTTTCACTTTTCTTGACAGCTCCCTATATTCAACATGTTCTCAGTGGAAGCCATCACCTTGGCAGACATGTTAGGGCAACCTCTTAAGTGCCCAAGCGGAAGGTCCAGCTGTAGTTACATGAGAGGTCCTGAACGAGAGCAGGGTTCATCTCTCTCAGTGGGTCTAAAATAGGTCATATCAGACCTAATAGGCTTTATTTCCAGAACTCCCATCAGCTTCACAGTGAATCTGTTCGCCTGCGGGCAAACACTGCAGACATGCTCTTCACAATTCCCTTAATGCCTGCTAACTTCTTCACAGACACTCTGGATTCTCTGATACGATCCACCAGCCCATGGAAAACCATGAGAACGCTGTGGTAGTTCTCAGCAGCCGAGACCTCATAAAACTGACAATCCGCTGAGAGTGCAAGCAGCCGGCCCTCCTCACTAAGCACTGTACGGCGATGGTGCAGGTCTCTCTTGTTTCCTACTATAACTATGGGCATCTTCTCAAAGCCCAGAAAGTCTTTGGTGGTTTTTATTGTATGAACGAGTCTGGAGACAGTGTTGAAACTGGCTCTGTCACAAATGCTGTAGACCAGCACCAAACCGTCCGCCCACTGAAGTCTTTTCTCACACAGCAGAGTCTCGAAGGATGGGTCCTGCTGAAAAGACAACCACTGGGTGTTAATTCAATATTTCAAATGGTGTAATGTTATTCAATAAAGAGCATTTTATACATGAAAAAAAGATCAAACTAAACTTTTATGCTGAGCTACAGCTGTTGATAAGACAAACACTGGGTATTCGTTCAGCATTTAAACCAGAGTATTTAATATATTCACTACAGAAATTTTATGTGTCAGCTTAAAACCAGCCAACACGGCCGAGATAGTGAACCAGCATTTTAGACTGGTTTATGCTGTTATTATTTTTCTTCTAAATAATATTTATTTATTATTACTATTATACCTTTCGTTACTATTACTTGTTATATATACAAATAGGTTCTGAAACATTACTCACCTGTGAATACGGCGCATCCCATATATTCAGAGTTTGCTCTCGTCCATCCACAACAATATTGTGAGTGTAAAACGATTCTACAGAGAAAACAGGTTTGTGAAACATTAAGAAAGAAACATAACAAAACTTATAAATAAGCCAATGAATGAACTACTTACCGATATCACCATATTCCCCAATAAATCTGCGAGTCAGGAACCGGACAATGAGAGCTGCAAAACAAAAGTTGCAATCATAAACGTTACTTATGTGAGAAAAGCAGAACAAAAAAGAGAAACGCATGCATGTTATAAACTTATTGCTAGTTAATAAACTCACCAGATTTACCAACATTGTCAGTGCCTAGAACAACGACGTTTGCGTCCATTCTCTGTCCGTTTAGTCCAGTCATGTTGTTTAGAAAGATGCTGCGAGAGAATGATCTGGCGCGTCTCCGCAGCTGTCAACAAAGTTGAGGAGAAGGCGGAGCTTAGACGTGCTCGCTCCCGTGATGATGATATGATGATGCATCGCCGGTGAGTTTAATCAAAGAGTTTGGTTTCATGAACTACTGGAGGAGCAAATAGCAAGCGGCTGTAAGTCAAATTCCTGAATTTAGTTATCATATTTTCTTTATCGTAAGTGTGAATACTGTACTTGTTTGACCACTGTTTATTGTTTACAAAGATTTTTTTGTCAGAAAAGTAACCTGTTTAAGTCCACAAGGTGGCATGAGTGGACTAGCAGGTTTGTAGACACTGATCCAGGGTTTGGGGTCATTCCACAGAAATTAAAGTTTTTCTGTCCCTAGTGTAACAAAAATATTAAATCTTTAGGTTCAATTTTTTTTTTTAAATATTTAAATCAAACACTATTATGCACATTAGTCTACTAAAGTATTGATGCCTTGGAACATGGCATTGCTGTTATGGTTTAACACAAATCTATTATTTTGAACCAAATAATATGACATAACTTGACTTTCTTCTTCATGTTTCCTAAAGATTTATAAAGAAAGGCCCATCAGAAATTATTCATGATTTTATATGAAGCTTTTGGCCTCGCTGGTATGATCTCTGTTGCTAGAATATGAATTGATTGGACTACTTAATTTAGTCAACAGCCTTCAGACATGAAAAAATGTCATTGGTGTTTTATTTTTATGTGTAACACTGAATGTCATTATGTTTCTTACTGGTGATTCATTACGTCAATAATACTGTTGTTGTTGGGTTTTTTGTTCTCTCCATAACATTACTTAAACTATGTCACATGTGACAAGAAATAACTTTACATCCCTTGTATTCTACTACACACAAGATTTATGATTAAGGAATGCATAAATACACATTCATCATTTCAAATATTTTCATTGTTATTGCACATACTGTATATGGTAATGAAATTAACTTGTATCACTAAATCACACTTTTAATAAAACAAATAAAACAAGCTTCATATCTGTTACAGTATCATTATTTTGTTTTCTTTAACTCTAACTAAATGTGCTGAAAATAACCAGGAAATGTTGTTTTATAAAAGCTGTTAATATTTAAAAAACGTAGATAACACTGGTGACAAACAAATTATATGTTGTGTTCTTTAAATAGATGTATGATTATGAAAAGCATTAAGCTGCCATTTATGTTTTCATAAAACGCGTTTGTGTAGAATGTTCTTCTTTTCTTTCTTTTTACAATAGTTGCAGTGTATAACTAGTCAAAAAAAAGTACTGTTTTAGTTTGTTGTTTTAAAAATCTTGTTCAGTCCTAAATAGTGTCTGTGTATTCAATGCATTCCACCTCACAGTTTTAGCATAGTAGTCATCTAAAATACACTTTTTAACAGTTTTTTTTTTTTTTTTTTTTTTTAAATACTGTAGGTTGAGAACTAAAAATGGTCATCAACAACATCCTTTTGCTGTTTGGACTGTGGAAAATAGTTATGGAAAGTTAAAATGAAGTGCCTTGTCCACATTTGGCCACTAGGGCTCAGCATAATCCCAAAAATTACAAAGCTTTCGTGCCAGAGTTGGTTTAGAAAAATAAATAAATAAATAATAAGGTAAATTAGTATTTATATTATGCTACACATTCTTATGTGTTTTTACAATAACAAATTGTTTATGTATCTTTATTTTAGGTTTATTAAATGTATTTTCTTAAACATTTTAATTAGATTTATTTTATATTGTGTAATTTGTTCGGCTTATAATGTATGACAAGTATTATTTTTTATTCATTATTATATGCTTTTTCTACCTTGGAGCTCTGTCAGAGGAATATGTTTACATGATAATGCTGTATATCAAATCTAAAACATAGACTTACTGAAAGAATAACAGCCATTTGTGTATACTAAGCATTTATATAACGAATAAAGTCATGGTTTGCGTGTGGCCACCAGTCTTCTCATTAAAGATATGGGTGGCCTAAAGGGTGCAGCTCTACTTGATTTATATTTTGGCCCAAAGGAAGAGGTACCATTTTCCTCACTACAGTAGAGAGAATGGGCTTTTGTTTGGATTGCAGTGACCTTCATTGATTCCTAGACATCTGCATAGTTCAGTACTATATCTCAAGTCAAACGCTCAGCTGACTGTCCGCACGTTTCCTGCATGCTGAGTAGATCTGCTCTCATGCCAGGCCGTAATCCTACCTGATGGGATGCTTTAAATAGTGCCTGTGTAGAAAGTGTTCAGTATCTGGGGGTCTGCATAATCTTTCCCTGCTACTGACCTGAAGTCACCCTGCTGAGCTGCTGGTGTGTGTTTGTGTCTATATATACACTACCAGTCAAAAGTTTGGGGTCAGTTTTTTTTTATTTTTATTTTTTTTAGAAAATTATTCTGTTCATCAAGGTGACATTTATTAAATGTTTAAAAAACAAATGAAATTATTACTCCAGTCATCATTGCTTTTACCATTAATAATAATAACAATAATAAATATTATTTATTATTATTAAATATTGGTAAAAGCAATGATGACTGGAGTAATAATTTCATTTGAAACTACATACAATAAGAAAGCAGTTATTTAAAATTTTAACAAATATTTAACTTTTTTTTACATTTAATAAATGTCACCTTGATGAACAGAATAATTTTCTAAAAAAAAATACTATAATACATGATCCTTAATAAATCACTCTCTATTATTATTATTATTAAAATTATTATTATTATTATTATTAATATTACAGTGGTTTGTTAAGGATCATGCAACTCTAAAGACTGGAGTAATGAAGATAAAAATAATTTTTAAAATCAATAATTAATGAATTAAATTAAATTATAAACTACTTTGAACAGTTCTTTTATAATGTAATAACATTTCACAATTTTGCAATTTGTACTGTATTTTTGATTAAATAAATGCAGTCAAAACGGCATATTTTACTCCTTCTCTTGGAATTTCCTTTTTCTGTTGAACACAAAAGAAGATCATTTGAAAAATGCCGAAAGCCTGTAACCATTTACTTTTTTAACAGGTTTCTAACATTTTTCAAAATATCTTTAAAATAAGTGTGTGTTTAACAGGAAAAAGAAACTCTTACTAAAGGTTTTGAAACACTTGAGGGTGAGTAAATGTATTTTTGGGTGAGCTATTCTTTTAAGGCAAGACACTGCAGTCAATAAATGTTTTTTAAAAAGCTTTTTGGCTATTCATAAATAGTTTTTTTCCCTCTGCAGGTCTATTCAAAAGAAAGCATTTTATCTCTATTGAGCCATGTTTATCTATGTAGCACTTATTCATCTGTATTCTGAATGTCTTTGAAGAATATATTCTTACATGATTTGTCTGATTGCATACATTCTATTCTACAAAAACTTGTGATTTTCTAAATAATGGAGTGATAAAAAGAGATCCTCATAAGCCTTTAAAAACCTTTGACTTTTACACTATCCTTCATTTATAATGGGACCCCACAGTGAAATGAACCGCCAATTACTCTGGCAAACAGTAAACTGTAAAACCTGATAAGTTACGTAATTAAAACTGTTTGAGGAAACCGACTGCAGCAAACTATTAAAGTTACAAAAACAAAGTGGTTCGAGTACTGTAACTGTATATATGTATAAACATATTGAGTCATATAGACGTATATTATTTGTCTTCATCAATGTTCAGTCCAAAAAAACTTTATACCTGTAGCTACTCAAAAGGTTTGTCATTGCTTCTATCATTAGAATTAACTAATAAAAAAAAAAAAAAAAAAAAGTTCTGAGTTCTGGTTTGAGTTCTGCTTGATATAATTAGTTTATGAGTTACCATAACACTTTTCCATTAAGTCAAAGTAACTTGAAAAAAAAATTATAAGTTTAATAAGTTAAATTAACTTATTTCATTAAGTGATCTTTACTTTTAGGTTTTAGAGTGTATGTTTTATGTGGTAGATGCCCTTTAAGCCACAACTTTGATATATGTAAAAAAGCTAAACTATTTTTGAACCTGATTCATAGTAATTTCAGATCTTTGCTTGATTACTGGCTGCTTATTGCCAGGTTTTTGTGTTGTAATTTACAACCCTGGCAATGTATCATTGCTTTAAACTCTTTTCATACTGCTAAACATCAAAAATTGTTAAAAGGAAAACAAAGATCCTATAATGCAAATCGTACTCATGAATTAAAAACTTACAAATCACAAAATACAAAAGACTTTTAATTTTTCACAGTGAATGAAACAAGAATTGCTAAAGTCTATGTTTTTATTATTTTTTTTAATATCCATTACTTTTAATATTTTGCCTTTAATTATGCATAATGTTAACAGAATACTTTCTTATTTAAAACCTTCTTGGTCACACTTAAGGTTCATTAGTTGATGTATAGTAATGCATTTACTAACATGAACAAACAATGAACAATACATTTACTACTGTATTTATTCATGTTAATAAACGTTAGTTAATGAAAATACAGTAGTTCATTGTTAGTTCATGTTAACTCATGGTGCATTAACTAATGTTAACAAGCATGGACTTAAATGTTAATAATGCATTAATGTTCAATTATGATTAATAAATGCTGTACAAGTGTTGTTCATGATTAGTTCATGTTAGTAAATGCATTAACTAATGAACCTTATCGTAAAGTGTTACCAGCTTCTCAAATCTCTTTGACTGCATTGCATTGATGCTCTCAACAGTCATTATAGGGGCATTATTTACCAACATATAATACAACTTATAATACAACCATTTTTGTACATTTTGTGGCATTTATATTGGCCTTTTGTCACAATAAAAAGCAATACAGTACAACACATCTGTAACTCATCTACCTCTAAATGAGATCTCAATAAAGTGTGAGCTCAGGTTAACTCAGCACTTTATTGTTCAAAATGTTAACCTGCCAGTCCAGCCTCTCTGCTTTTTAAAGGTCATGTCACATCACGTGTTTCATGTTTTTATAGCCCTGGTGCGCTTGAATGGGTTATAAGTTATGACTAATTAAAGCAAACACATGCATTCAATCAAAACATTTCATGCTTGGTTAATTATTCATCCAAGCTAATTAGCAGTATTTTGTTAATCTAACATCCTTTTGATTTGTTTTCTCCGACTACTGTCAGATTTTCAGAATCATTTATTTGTGAGCAAAAATATCTTTTCAAAAGTTCTAAAATAAAAATAAATGATGGAAAAATATTCATCTATTTAGTTTAGATTATTTTTTTAA